GGTTTGTATAGAACCAATCACACGTTTCGAAAGTCGTCCTTGGTATGACGATAAACTACATCCGGTAGCAAGGCCTCGGATCGGGAGATTAGAAGTTTTGAGGCGCGTGGGACCACCTCTTAATTGTTGATGTTCCCAGGTCCAACCTGACCCGGGGTGGTAGCACTTGTTAGGATCCCAACTATGGATAAAGTCAACCCCCAAACTGGGGTCAAAAGTATAAAAATATATTTTTATAGTAAAATTGCTAGCAATACATTTCTGAAAAGAAAATTACTAATGCTTCCAAGAAAATTAAATTTTGGCATTAAATGACCCATGAGGAGTTGAAATGCTGCGAAACAAACAAACGTTGCGAAAGAACTGACCACCGGGAAATAATTCAATGAGCATCATTAGTTTTCAGACAATTCTTTAGCCATTTTCAAAGATTCGTATTTAGCATATCTTTTGTTTGTAGTCTAAGAAAAATTCTTGTAGATAATACTATCATTTTAAAAACCTCTAATTGTAAAAGACGTTTAAAGATAACTGAAGTATTTTTACAAATAGTAGGAGGCCTACACTGAACATTAGTCGTTTTGAAATTAGCCGAAATATATTGAGGGTGTTCTGAAGGCATCCTAAGATGGAATTACTACAACTCGTAATACAATACAGCATAGAATAAAAATACAAAAATATACTAACAACAAACTCTTTGAAAATGGCCAGAGTTAGTCGAAAGTGCTTGGGATAATCATCACTACGAAAATATTCTATGAACTTTTAGTCTTTATAAAAGGAAAATTATAAGGGCAGTGGAAAAATTGAATAAAAACATACAAAAAGTATCCTTTCTCGTTAACCCGTTAAATTCAATGAAACATGTAAAACAGATGAACTGCAATATATATATATATATATATATATATATATATATATATATATATATATATATATATATATAAACAAAAACTTGTACCCACAGAAATAGAAAAAAGATTTAAACAAAATGGACGTCATTATTTAACCCTTAGGACCCTTTCGGTCAACGCTTTTTCAAAGACGTTTGATCGAGAGATTGTGAGTGACATTTTTCTATTTTATACTCTTTTGGAACTTCACTAATTTTTGTCGTTAATTTATTTACAAATTATATATATATATATATATATATATATATATATATATTTTCAAGCTGAAGCGAGAGACTCAGCCATATGCAAAGAAAAGATTTTTGCGGAGGATGTAAGAAAAATCCTTATTAGATATAATGTCCATAAACTTTTTTTATTCTTCTTGCATTTAACCCATTAGTGTCTTCTGGATTTTAGTTTAGCTCACAGCGTGTAGATCTCTGTGTTTTTACTCTGCACTTTAAAATACCGTATTGTGCTATTAGCGTTTGTGCATCTACTGGTGATCCAGTACATGAGGTTGACTATAGAGATTATGTGCAAATGCGCACATATAAGCACTGAGAGTGCATCTGTAGTACACACACACACACACACACACACACACACACACACACACACATATATATATATATATATATATATATATATATATATATAAAACTAGCAGTAGAAACCGACGTTGCCCGGGGATGTAACAGTAAGAGATAGATCAAGTATCGACCATCATAAAGACTAAAAAATAAAATTGACAAAAATTATTCTTTAAGGTTGACGGACACGCATGTCTTAATTAGTTTTGTTTTGTTTTGTTTTTTAATTTTTTTTTTACGAATTGATCAAACTCAAACAAAAACATTGTTTTTAATCGTTATGAGTCTACCGATTGAATAGAATTTTATTATAAACAATTGTCTTGTAAATGGAATTTTAAAGCATTCTGAATGTAAAAATAAAGAAAAAAAGTGTGCAAGACAATAAGAAACACTACCTGCCAAAAAAAGTGAAGTTTTGTTGAAATCGGTTAAAAAATGTAACAAATCCGATCCCATATATAAACGAACACACACACACACACACAAACAAACAACCTGGGTTTTATAATAAGTATAACTCGATATGAGTTGTCTCCCTTTCATTCTCAACAGCGATGCCTCTTAATTGTGTTTACAAATTGATTTCGTGCAAAAACAATTGTGTTTTTCCAATTTTTGGCGCTGTTAGAACCACCACAAGGTAATTTTACGTAGTCCTATGAAGTTTTGTTGAAATCGGTTAAAAAATGTAGGAAATCCGATCCAATATATAAACGAACAGACACACACACACACACACACACACACACAACAACCTGGGTTTTATAATAAGTATGATATATATAATACTCAAAATGTGTGTGTGTATGTATGTATGTGTGTGTGTGTGTGTGTGATCGAATGTTGTTTATGCATTTCCACAGTTTTCATCCCAGTTCGATGAATTTTTTTTTATTTGATAGATAATTCTTCAGTGCCGGTTTTGAGTTCAAATTGTTGACGACAATGGCTCTCCACTACTTCCTGTCCATTATAACACTCAGGACGTTTTACTATTTACTATCTTTTCTTGGATATATATCTTTCATAAAAACTTTAATAAAAGTAAATAGTTTAAATTATTACAATAATATTATTTATTATTATACAGGATCGGTTGTTCAATTTTCAGAACAGTTCAGTTGGCTATAAATTCAAATGCCGTTGCGATGCGGTGTATATAGGACGAACCAATCAGAGGTTGGAAACGCGGATTACTCAACATGTACCTGCCTATTTGCGTTCAAGTAGTCAGAGTCGTGTTTCAAGAACCACTCAAGCAGTGCACGACTCCTCTCTTGGGCCACATTTGCTGGACAATCCCGATTGTGCCGCCGAGTATGATGATGCATTTGTTTCCATCTTACATAGTGCTCGATCGGTTCACCGTCTCCGAGTCCTTGTGGCTGTTTACATCAAATTCCACCAGACGAGCCTTTGTAAACTAAAGGAACATTTTATTTATTCCTTACGTTTGATCGACGGTTTGTGACTGTTTTTTCTATTTTACACTCTTTTGCAACTTCCCAACTTTTTAGTCTTGAATTTATTTACAATTTAAATTTATTTTAATCACGTTCCAACTTTCCCTCCTCGTTCGTTATTTATTATTATTGCGTCTTCGATTGTATTTTTTTTCGCTTCGCCAACGATGACCTTTCTGAAAAAGCATTGACCGAAAGGTTCCCAAAGGCTAAATAAGGACATCCATTTTGCTTATATATATATATATATATATATATATATATATGAAGAAATATATCTTAAAATAGTGCTATATTTATGGAATAAAGTGCTCACTATCAGAGATAGAGCGTGTGTAAATATAAAAGTGAACATTGAAGTCAACACTTAGAGGCGACAGCATGGAACAGACTGTCGCCTCTAAGTGTTGACTTCAATGATCACTTTGTGTGTGTGTGTGTGTGTATTTAGGCAGCAATCCTTCTTTCATGCGCATTTCATTGAATACGACAGACAAGATGCTTTGATTTAGTTTTTCATACAATTTTTCTTATGTGATCTAATATTTTTTTCTTTTCAGATAATATTCTTTTTATCCGAGCGCTTTTGGCTATACATTTAGCCATTTTCAAAGTTGAAATATATTAACAAGAAATAGTTTGTTGTATGTAAAATACATACATACAATAAACTATCTCTTGTTAGCAGTTAATATAGTTCAACCTGGAAAATGGCTAAATGTATAGCCGAAAGCGCTCGGCTAAAAAGAACATTTGGATACATTTTATACAAATCTGAAAAGAAAAAAATATTAGATCACATGAGAAATTGTATAAAAAAAACTAAATCAAAGCACCTTTGTCTGTCGTATTCAATGAAATGTGCATATATATATATATATATATATATATATATATATATATATATATATAAAAAGAGAGGAGAAAGAGAGAGAGAGTGTGTACGAATCTATAGCAGTCTGTATTTAGAGTTGTATGTTGTATCAATGAGGGGTGAGAGCTTGATGATTATAAGCATGGTCTATCCATGTGTTTTGGGTTTTATGTGAATAACAGACCGATGGGATCTACCAGAAAGCTGAGGGTGTGGCACAAGATAAAATATTTAGGAGAGAGAAAGGGTCGGGATAGGGGGGGGATAACAAACGTCGTCGGCAAGCACGTTGCAGAGATAAACACACCAAGCTTGAAATAGATATTTTATTTACTCAGTTTTACCAAATATGGCAGAAAGTGACCATCGCCAGAATCGAACCCATATTTACCGGTTCTCGAATTTTAGATACGCTCTCTCTATATATTTGTTCCATTTCCGTGTATAGGAGATCACTGTTCTCCACACTTTCCCTTGCTACCAGCAGTATCTGGGCTTTTACGAACAGCCTGTAATTCCCCCATCATCAATTTCCTTACATTTCTCAAATATTTAACTTAGCTGATTTTCTTTACTTCTCATTTCTTCAATTTATCCTGTAGTTGCTAAATTATGCGAGCCGTCTTTCCTCATTAGGTATAAACAATTAATTACGGTTTATCAACTCTTTGCGGGTTATTTAAAGCCAGAAGATATTTATAGAATTTAAGAATATTTTTTGAGATAATAATGGTTTAGTGATATAAGTCTTATCAATTAACCCATTGCTGGTGGGAGAAGAGGTGGATTCATACCTTCTCCAACTGAATATAACGAACTCAACAGGAATTGGAACTCCGATGAAAAATTCCGTGCTATTATCCATTACACCACCCGCACATCCAAGCTTACAGCACCTGGTATACCGAAGCGGTCCACCCATCTACTAACTAGCCTTAACGTTGGTTAACTTCAATGATCGCAACTGGTATTCCCAAGCGGTCCACCCATCTACTAACTAGCCTTAACGTTGCTTAACTTCAGTGATCGCACCTGGTATTCCCAAGCGATCCACCCATCTACTAACTAGGCTTAATGCTGCTTAACTTCAATGATCGCGCCTGGTATTCCCAAGCGGTCCACCCATCTACTAATTAGGCTTAACGTTGCTTAACTTCAGTGATCGCCACTGGTATTCCCAAGCGATTACCCATTTAGGTACCGACCAAGCTCAACGTTGCTTAACTTCGGTGCTCATATAGGAACCGGTGTTTCAACATGATGTGGCCATAAGCATAATTAATTGTCAGTTAATTGCTATACGTTATACACACTTGGGCGATCATGTCTCTTTAAAGTCATGACTGACAAGGCAGAAGATATTCCCACAGTAAGCTGCCGTTTCTTTCTGCGATAGACTGGTTACCAACCAAGACTATAGGACCCAGAGTGACCTGTTATTTATCCATAGAGCGTGCGATGTATAAATTGTCCTCTAAATTTCGTAAAAATGAAAATAACACATTTTAACAGATAATTTTACCAAAATCCCACAGATATATCTTGAAATAATAAAGAGTAAATTTTTTCAATATAATCACCATTGGCTTCAACCACAACTTCCACACAACTTCCGAATCTCTTTTCTGGGTGTTCTCCTTGTTTAAGTTTGTGAATGTTACCATGATCCTTGCCTTTAGTCCATTTTGGTGTTACAAAGAGTTTTTTGTTTTCTTGTTCAACTGTGCCCCACACATAATAATCAAAGGGGTTGCAGTCTGGGTAGTTAGGTGGTCAGCTGAAAGGGATGGTGGGGTCGCAGAAATTGTCTGACGGCTATGATTGGGTTGTCTTATGCTTGTGTGGCATGGTGCAAAGTGCTGTTGCCAGACATAGGGTCTTTCAGCAAACACCCTCTTGAACCAGGGCTGCACTACCTCCTCAAGACGCCTGATGTAGGCCTCAATGTTGAGTCTGAGGCCACGTGAGAAGATGAATGGAGGCATAACGACACCATTACTAGTGATCCCTCCAAACATCATGATGTTGACTGGATATATCATCCAACTCTTTCCGTTTGACATCTGAACACTCTGAAATGCTCGTATTGGAGCTTCCGGTGCGAATGCCAAGCAGTACAGCATGCCGTTTCCAAATTTCTGGCGGAATAAATTGCATCATGGTGCTCTTTTTCGTACAGACGGTGTCCAGCTGACCCGATTATATTTACAGTCGACAAAATCAAAAACAAGCCACGCGCATGCGCGAAACTAAAAATATAAAATGGCGACAATTTACCCATTACACCCTGTATATTGATTCATACCTTTCCCAAGGATAATTGTAAGTGGATGTAACAAATCCAACTGGAATTCGAACTCGGATCTCTGATTTCTCATTCCGCGCTGATATCCATTACGTCACCCACGCACATCCAAACACAATTATTAGTACAAAAATTAAAATATTGCACGAAGAATTAGCGACACGTTGGAATTAACTGTCAAAGGGAAAAGGTATAATTAAGTAGCCAGCTTTTTGATTAACTCTCATCAAAGAGGATCATTGATGAATTTTAAAATATGAAATCATATCTCACAGAAAAAATAAAATCAAGAAAGAATAAAATAAAAAGCAAGAGACAGATAATTGGCTAACTTTTTATGCCGCTTAACTTCAAGAAGTAAAGGAAGTCCTATTATCACAAAAATGGCTGAAGCCTAAAAAAAAAAAAATTATCCTTAAGTGAAACACTGAACTTGCCACTGCTAGAATATAAAATCTGTCGAATGAGAAACAGGCTTATTTTAATCATTTCACACCAAGCAAGTCAATAAAGCCACTAAGACGCAAGGGGGTTACTGAGTGTGAAGGACTATATAAGAAAATGAAAAAACAACATTAATAAAGAGAGAGAACAATAAAAGAACAGGAATTAAGAAGACAAAAGATAACAATTGACATTATATTTAAATTTTAAAATTAAATTTGACTGAAAAACAAGAAGCCAGAAGAGAATTCCACAAGTAAGAAGTTTGTCAGAAGAAACTATTATCATAGAATTTACGGTTACATCTCGATATTTCTGCGGTAAAATGATGAGAACAAGCTGCCGATCTGATACTGCATTTAAATTCGTAAAGTTGAAGCACAAAAGAGGAAAGCTTATTAGAAGAAGTACCATGAAAATATTTACAGAAAAAGTACAGGAAAGTTACAGATAGGATTAACAATAAGTTACCAGCCAATCAAAATGCTCTGCGATTGTGTCATCGTTATTATTTGACGTGATTAGCTGTTTCTGGTCTAAACTAGAACATGTGGCTTGATGCTGAATTCCAGTCTTTGAGATATGCATTCAATGTAACCTGGTTCACACTGATGCGTAAATGAATACACAAGGGGCGACAACCAAATAGGAAATACACAGCCATCTCAGTCATTGGTCTTTATTGTTATTTCGCTCATTAAGATCAAATTGGCGGCTGATCTAAAAAAAAAAAAACTTACCTACAATCTGTTGTTAGCTGGGGCAAGGAATGACATGTTAATTTTAACGCCTCCAAAACGAAATTTCTTTGTACTAATCATCTTCCATCAGCATGGCCGATGCTAACCTCCAGGAGAGTGACTCGTTGCGCCTTCTTGAGCCAACATTCTCGGCTGACATGAAGTGGGAAAACTATATTGAATCCATTGCTAGGTTTGAAGTTAAAAATGTTGGTTCACTGCGAGAAAATTTTTTCACCAGAATCTATCTGACATATTTATGTCTACCATTCGTTCATTCTTCGAATATTGTTGTCATATGTAGTCCGTTGCTCCTGCTGTATATTTAGAGACTCTTGATAAAATCCGAAGAAGAATCAGCAATATTATTGGTCTTGACCTGGCGTCTCGGCTTCAGCCCCTTTTCCACCACCGTAATGTTCTTGTGCATTTTCTAGAGATATTTTCATAGTAATTGTTCGGATGAACTCTACCTTATGGTACCAAGATGAATTTAAGCGCAGTAGTAGATTAGCAACAAGGTCTCATCAATTCACAATTGAAATGGCTGGATCTAACCGTAAGTTCTTTGCTAACAGTTTCTTCTATCGCAATTCTCACCTTTGGAACTCTCTTCCGGCTCATACTTTGTACGTGAGAGAATCATGGAAAATTGTAGTTTAAAAACAGTAAAATCGACCTTGCTAACCGAACTATCCTCTGTGGCTTAATCGGAAATGCACGTAAGGCTATATGACGGTTCCGTATAGGATACAGGTTCGATTCCTGTCGGAGGACGAATATTTTCTATGACAATTTCTCGGACATTCAGGCCGGTAAATGTTGTTTAATATTGTTTATCATAAACAGAGCATTTACTTAAATATTTGTATCTATAAAAAGAATGTATAAACATAAAAATGTCTTAAAATAATTGTCGGACTTTGTCCATTTCATTATATATATATATATATATATATATATAATAACATACACAAGTGTTTCTTTACTTACATACTCTTACACTATCACACACTTTAACGGTATTTACCCGAGACATCCCCACAAGGCGGAATATGGCACAAGGCCGGTTTTTAACGTGGGGCTTTCCGAGCGCGTATACTCGGGAAAAAATTCCACATAGACCCTGTATATACGGGGTCGGGCAGTTGTCTACCTCCCCAGATGACTCTGCCCGAAGCCAGAGAGCCGACAAGCAGATTTAACTGTAACCGCTGACTCCTTTTTTTTTCCTTTTTAGCAAAAACAAATAAAAATAATTAAGAAAACAGTTTTTAAGGTGTTAATAATGAATTCTTTTACTGGGGAAAACATTTTGCACATCAAGAATATATATGTTTCGCTATATATTTACTGGTTTTGCCATTCTGATATACTGATTCAGATTTGATGATATGACAATCATCTTATACGTGTGTGGTATTCCAGATTCTTAGGTGGCCTTGAATCCTATACGCGCATACCATTGAGAGAAAATAGATATGTGTATCTAATTCCTCAACAGGTGTTTGCATTATTCACCCAACTTCGCCAACGACCATCCTCAGCTACACGTTGCTCCTATCCACCCGAATTACTACAAAACGCAACAGTCTGGTTTTACCAAAGAAACTTTAATTTCAACTTCGTCTTCTGCGACGAATTCTCTGGCATCTGCACTTTGCAATATTCCATGTAACATGCAAATCCAAGCATAAACAGAAATGAAGCCAAAAAAAAAGAACGTGGGCGGTGTATGTATGTGTGTGTGTGTGTGTGAGAGAGAGAGAGAGAGAGAGAGAGAGAGAGTGAGAGAGAGAGAGAAAGAAAGAAAGTGTGAGAGAGAGAATAATAAGGAGATTTGAATGGAAAGAGAAGACGCGGTTAAAATGGCAGAAAGGAGAGAGAGAGAGAGAGAGAGAGAGAGAGTAGAAAGAAGGAAAAAAAGCAAGGAGACAGAAAGAAAAAAGAGGATAAAAAGGAAAAAGATCGACAGAGATGAAGAAGGACTAAAAATTAGGATGCATTTAGTGGAGGGGAAGAAGAAAAGAAAGAGATGATGAGGGCAACTGATGGAGGAAGCGGAAGAGGAGAGAGAAGTATAAAGCAAGGGAGAAAAAGAAATTTCAAAGAAAAAAAGAATAGCCTTTCCTCTTTGGTGCCTAGACTTTATAAATTTAAGCACTAGATGTAGTTTTTATTTTATTTTAATCAGTTCGCACCAGAGACGCGGGCGGGGGTGGAGGGCTACTAGGAGTGAAAGAGGAGGAAAAAAAAGGAATCGAAAACCCAACCCTAAACAGAAAACAATGGATAAATCTCTACTCCTGTTTAGAGAAAAAAAAGAAAAAGATCTAAAGCAATGTGAAGAAAGAAAGAAAGAAAGAAAGAAAGAAAGAAAGAAGTAAACGCGGATGCGTTGAAGTGAACAAAGCAAAGGAGGAAAAGATTATTATTCTTAGAAGAAAAAGAAGACGAGTAGAATATACTTTTTTACTGGCTCTCTTGCCACACCCTTTGCCGAATAACCTTGTACAGACGATGTCCTTTAGAATGACATCTGATCTCACAGAAAAGAGAATTGGTATGTATTAATTACATAAACAATAATATCATTACTTCAACTTATACCGATTTTTTGGTATGTGTCGTTTGTTTTTTGGGGACGAAAAAAAAAAGAATCTCACTATATATTTTATTATGAGGTTATATTTTATTAAAAGGTTAGTGCTTTCAGTGAGCAGATTCCTATACATAATACCCACACTTTAAACGTGTTATAATTTGTTTTACATATAAGTTTAAAAAATACGCCCGATATTTCGTAAACATCGATAAGTCAAGCAGCAATTAATAATAGTAAAGCCCCGAATGAAGATCGAATATAAGATCAATAGCTTTTAAGGTTAGTCTATGGTAGGCGCCCTTGGCGGGAAGATGTGGCTATTTACCGCCTTGATTATCATAGCTTTGTGCACAAACGGAATTATTACAATGGGTAAAATATACGATATACTAGGGGCCTACATATTACGTTCTGGTTCTGTCATTAATGCTAGAATTCCTGACCATTGACAATTCCTTTCTTTTCGCTTCTAAATGCATTCTTATGGTAGAATAATTATGAACTCATTGACAGTAAGCATGTGGCTTACGGTCATATTACGGTGAAACACCGGTTCGCGTAAGATCACCGAAGTTAAGCAATATCGAGTCTGGTTAGTACCTAGATGGGTGACCACTTGGGAAAACCAGGTGCTGCAAACATAATGGCTTGGATTTGGAAATAGAAGAGCCGAGTTCCAATTCCAGTCGTGTTCATTATATTCATCAAAGTTCAAATAACCTTGGGAAAGTTATGAAGCCACCTATTCTCCCTCTATGGGTTAATTAGTAGACATTTTATCGGTAAGTCATTATTATCTTACAATCTAAAAATATTTCTGGATTTAAATAACCTGCAAAAGGTTGATAAGCCATAGAAAACAAATTAGTCAAAAAACAATTAAACATGGAATAGCCCTATTCTATTAGTTACTAATAATTACTGAGCATTAAGAATATATTCTGTTCTTCATTTTTAGTGTATTTTTATAGTAAAATATTTAACAATGTATTTATATTAAACATATAGCAGTCCTAAGAATCAGTAATGCTTGAGTCAATACTAACCAAAGACAGTCCCTTATTTCTTGATTTTCAAAGCATAACAGGAGAGGCTTTTAAAAAGAAATTGGAGTTAAACTATTGCAGAAATCGGCGTTTAGTTATTAAACTGTTTCATTTGCAAAGAAAATGGCTGAAACAAAATGTTGAAGTAACGGTAATGTGTGTGGACTGTCTTAATAAAGGCTGAAAACTTGGTTATATATAAGGGGTTCAAATGCACTCAGCGATTATTATGTGATATTCTCCTTACCGGTAGAATCTTTTGTGCGATGATTATATAATTTTTAGCGTGAATGAACCTTTTAAAGAGCTTTAAGTGTGTGCAATATTTGACGGAATTTGAACATAAAAACGGGGATCATTTTAGGCAGCAATTATATAAATCTGAACTTTATTATCACATAATTATTTTTTTAATCAATTCACCCCAATCAAGGTGATAATGCCACTAAGATGCAAAGACTTAATGGAAATAGAAGCGAACGAAAAAAAGACTTTAGAAGGAACCGGAAACCCAATCCTAAGCAGGAAACAAAGGATAAACTTCTACTCCTGTTCAAAAGACCAGGGAGGAGTATGAACTGGGCGATAGACGAACCTATGAGATTTCCCAATGATATTTGAGCACTGTTTAAAGTATTCACGTCAGCCCTATAACCACACCACTCAATATTAATGAAATCATACCTAGAACAGACAAAAGATAAAGACTGCAGCAAACAGTTCGATTGCAGTCCTACCGATAATCTGATGAGAGACGATAAAATTAAAATAACACTTTAGTATATTTTATACCAATATTTCTAATATATTATGTAAATAAACGAACAAATTTCAAGTAAATAAAAAAATTACCCCCGATATCATGGTTAGTCTATATGAATTAACAGACATCACTGTTACACCAACCAGTCACGTTCCATTATCATTATTATTATTGGAAATATTTTGAGAGCAATTTGCCATTATTTAAAACGAATTGGTTCGATTTTAAATAATCAAGATTGTATTGTCCTTAATAACATTATGACAAGGGAAGTGACTAGTTTCACCTTCTCGGAGCCACGTTCTTAGTGGACATGAAATTGAATGACTATATTGAATCCATTGTTAGGCCAGCTGCTAAGAAAGTTGGTTCACTGTGCGAGACAATTTTTCTTTTTCTATCTTACATATCTATAAGTCTACCATTCGTCCATGCTTAGAATATTGCTGCCACATATGGCCCGGTGCCCTTTTCTATTTATCTTGAGCTCCTTGATAAAATAAAAAGAAGAATCAGCAATATTATTGGTCCGAATCTGGCAGATCGGCTTCAGTTATTTTACCACCGCCGTAACGTTGCCTCTCCTTGTTTTTCTATAAATACTTTCATGATAATTGTTCGGATGAGCTCTTCGCGATGAAACCTAAACTTTCAAATTTAAGCGCAGTACTAGACTGGCATTGAGATCTCATCAAATTACAGTTGAGATGGTTAGATGTAACCGTAAATTCTATGTTAACAGTTTCTTTTCTTGCACTTCTTGCTTGTGGAACTCTCTCCTGGCTCCATGCTTTCCAGACAACTATAGTCTGCTAAAAATTAAATGCAATGTCAATCGCTATCTACTGGCTTCCTGATAACTCTTTTCTCTTTCTGCTCATTATTAATATTTCTGTTCCAAATTCTTCTACACGATGTAACCCCCTGTATCTTAGTGACTTTACTGCCTTGCACGGGGTAATACCGATTAAAAAAATATCGGCATAGATCAATGGGATGTGTCTATATTTCTGAGATTAGGTATTATGTACACTATTTGCATTATTCGGACTATTGTCCTCATCTTTGTCGTCATATTTATTACAATGTTTCGGCCTTTCAGTATCTGTCTATATTTCTGAGATGAGATATTATATACACTATTTACATTATTCGGACTATTGTCCTCATCTTTTTCGCCATATTTATTACAAAGTTACGGCCTTTCAGTATTTGTCTATATTTCTGAGATGAGGTATTATTAGGACATTATTTGCATTATTCGGACTATTGTCCTCATCTTTGTCGCCATATTTATTACAATGACTTTGAGGACATCTGTGTATGAGTGCCAGAGAAAAGCAATAATAACAACCAAAATTGCAATATGAGCTCTGGTAAAAACATCTATTGGTAACAGCAAAAAACACAAGGACACATGGTGCAGTGGATAAAGGCGTTGGTTAGATCTAGTGACAGGACCCAAAGAGTGTGAGTTCAATACCTGGTGAAGAACTTTCAGAGGGGAATTAACAAGAGATAACTGATAACTGACATCCATTAAACATGGCATGTGTAACGAGAACAGTCTACCCCAGTGAGCGAAATAAATGGTTCAGTTCGACATTCCAACCACCTGAAGAAGGCCGGAGCGTGCAACGGCCGAAACGTTGTAATAAATATGGCCACAAAGATGAGGACAATAGTCCGAATAATGTAAATGATGTATCAATGGGATAGTTGGTAAAAAAAAAAAAAAAAAACTTTTGGAAGCAATAAAGCCTCGATTAGAGAAAGACTCCGAGTAATGATATGTAGCTGTCATAATTCCAAACTGACGTGTTAAGTAGAAAGTGGTCGCCTTATACAGCGATATATACAGCATGTGCATAACCAATTAAAAAACATTTAACGGCATATCTGTCTTTGTCCTGGAGCATCTCACAAGATATTTCCTTGATATTGTTACGGAACGCAGAGGCTAGCCATGATGGCGAGCGATTGGGCAGAATGCTACATGGGCGTGGAATTCTAACAATGATGAATTGCCAAAACGGCACGAAGTCGGCAGAAGGGAGTAAGAATATTGAATGTTAAGCCAACGGAATGCTAAGCCAATCGATGCTACCACGTCTGGGACATGGCGGTTCAGAACCTGGGACGAGCACAACTGGTCGCGTTCTTTTGTCCCCGCCTAGCCCGTATTTCTTAGAATCGATGCTACCACGAAATGGGAAAAAGCAGATAACGATCCATTTAACATAAAAGAATGAGGGGGGACTGGCATCTTTTATAATAAAACATAAGAAAAGTAAAACCGTTTTTCGTTGATACAGTCTATGGAGGATGGGACGACGAGATAAAGGATGCCCCTCTTGGACGTATGCTGGAGAGTGGCCTGATGATCCATTAGCGACACAATGAAAACGCAAAAATAAGACGTCACGATGCGTTGTAATCTTGCCCTGTAAAGTTAGCATCATTTTCATTTTGCCGACACCCTGACAGGAAGGATGAAACGAACTTGTTCTATAGCTTTGGTTACGCACTGACTAAGAGGTGATATTTTTTACCGTCCACTGGCTAAGGAGAACCGGTGCAAGTGGTTGTGTGAATTAGACAGCACCAGCAGAGTGGGCACCCAGGTGTTAAAAAAGAACAATATTTAACATACGGTGTCTAAGGAACTGGTAAAATCTGTCATTTAAAGATCGATCCAGCACCAGTGCATTGGAAGGAAGAGAAAAAACTGGAGCATCAATGGAAATTGCAATGGTAGCCATTTTCTTACGCTCACATATTCCTGTGAAGAATTCGTTCTGTAGAGATATACTTTTTTTGCAGACAAATTTCATTTGGTTCTTTAATGCCGTCTGATGGTGATGCAGGAAAAATTGTTCTTGGAAGAGATGGTGTTGAACACAGCACCGGCTGAAATGATTGTCCTAGAGCATCTGACGCCCCCGCCTGAATATATATTTGAATGCGACAAATGTCCAAGTCAGCAGTCAGTGCGGGTCGATGGAACGTCGTCATGTTAGAACCTGCGCCCTTTTTTTTCCCACAACTGACTGGTTGGATTCAACAACCAATGTTGGTAAATTATCATTTATAGTCCATGAAGAATTGATCTCGGAGGAGCACCCGGGAATTTATCTGTGTGATATTGTCGACATGAAAAAAACAATGCCTTTACTAAAAAGGTAATTTACATTAACCAGAAAAAAAGGCTTACCGCTCTGACAGAATCCTCGGCCAGATAACATAAATCATTTTTTTAAAATTTGGATTTTTAAGGAAGACGTAAGTTATAACAACAAAAACATTTAGAACGGGATTTCATTGGAGACTGAACCAGGAAGGAACGACTCAAGTTTGAAGAAGTCGGAAGACGATAAACGCATTCTCAAAATAAAACATAAGAAAAGAAAACCGTTTTTTTACAATTGTCAGTAGTGTTTTATAGCGACACGGAACCAACGTCACGTGCGTTGTAATGTAAATAGTCATTTCATTTTGCCGCCTTAATAGAACTTGATTTCTTACAAAGAGGTGATATTTTCCGTCCACTGCTAACTGAATTATATATATATATATATATATTTTTCAAATATATATATATGAACACAGCAAAATATATATATATATGAATATAGCTTCTATATAAGCCTTTTTTTTTCTAAAATTACATTTATAGTCCACAGAATTGATCTGGGAATTTAACTATATTGTCGAAATTAACCAGAAAAAGCTTAGACAGAAGGTTTTCTTTTTGAATTTTTTTGTGTAACTATAACAACAAAAAACATTTCGATTTCTGATGCAAAATTAAGATTTTTTTCAATTGTCATTTATACCAACGTCTTTCCAGAATTGGAATATATATAAATATATATATATATATAATATATATATATATATATATATATATATATATTATATAATTACCTACAAATTCAAAAAATAGTTTTCTTTTGAACATTGAGTTACGATTCCATTGGAATAAATTATGACCATGGAATATTATCCTTTTTTATTATATCCTTACTCTGTCCTGGACATTGAGTTTTTTATCCTTTTGAATTTTTATTCAAAGAATATACATGTATGTGTATGCACCGATGTATATATATATTTATATATTTTGCATATATATATATATATATATATATATATATATATATATATATATATATATATATATATATATATATATATACAGGGTGTCCATAAAGCTCGTGTACACTTTATTTGTATTTGCGATAGAAATAATCTGTAAAAATGTTATAAAGTTTAATGTACCTAGTTTTAAGTATAGCTAAAATAACTAATGTGATTTCAGGCATTACTGTAAATCAGTTGGCAAATGTTTTCCGTGAGCTGCAAAATCGTATTACCTTTTGTATTGCTAATGATGGAGGACATGTGGAAACCTTAAAAAATATAGGTTTACTTCTTTCTAATTCTTTTTTACAAATTATTTCTAATAAGTTTATAAATTTTTTAAAATGCCCATGAACTTTATGGCCACCCTGTATATATAACACTATTTCGCCTAAAAACTGTCGACCAGAATAATTCTGGAAGATAACGATCTTTAAAGCATGCTGTCTTTATAATTAGAGTGCTTGATATAAAATGAAATTAATAAAGTTACAAATTGAAATTGAAAATTGATAGGAACCTTAAAAGAAAAAGCTATGAAATTTATTGTAAAATTAGAAAAATGAAAAGAAATAAAAGAGGAAAAATAAGAAATAAAAAAGATGTAAAACATATTTTTTTAATATTGGAGAGTTAATAAACCCTACCCGTGATAGTAATCTAGAAATGAGAACAAAGTCCATCACTTCACTTCGATCTCCTTCAGCATGAGAAAATAAAACCAATTTGCGAAGAGTCGGGGGTATGACGATAAACTACCTCCGCGTCCTGGTTAAGACGATAAACTACATCCAACAGCAAGGCCTCTGATCAGGAGGTTTTTCTTAATTACTGGTGTTCTCGGGTCCACCCTGACCTGGAGTAGTAGCACCTGTTAGGGTCCCAGCTATGAGCAAAGAGTTGACCCACAAGTTGGGCTCAAAATACTATGAAAGTGTAAAAATAGGTTTTAATACCAGCAATACATTTTTGTAAAAAAAATTTTTCCAGCAATACATTATTACCAGCAATACTTTTTGGAAAAAATATTACCAGCAATAAATTTTTGAAAAAATTAAAAAATTACCAGCAATATATTTTTGAAATAAAAATTACCAGCAATACATTTTTGAAAAACAAAAATATTACAAGCAATAAATTTTTTTCAAAAAATATTACCAGAAATATTTTTTGTAAAAAAAAATTACCTTTAATAAAAATTTGTCTGCATTAAATAACCCATTGAGATGTTGATATGCCGTAAAACAAAGCAAAACAAAAGCAGATTCGGTTAAATTAAAGTGAGCCTTTATTTAAGAAAATATTCTCTTGTTTATTTTTATGTCCTTCGAATAAACATGACATTCAGTTATTAAAGAAATTAAAATTTTATTCTAAAATGGAGCTTGTTTGATTTGGGTTTTTTTTATTTATAGTTTATCAACCATTTGTGGACTATTTTAAATATTTCGAAACATATTTTGAGGAATTGTAAGAAAAATTCTTGTTTTCGAGTTAATATAACATTTACATTTTTTGAGATAAAAATAATTTTTCCAGACACAACTCCTGCTGTTTAACCCATTGTTGGGAGGGAGAGATAGATTCCTGCTTTTCCCAAGGGTATTTGCATGTAAGTAAATTTAGCAAACTTCGAACGCTAAAGTGGGGGTCGGATTTACAATACAAGTGTAATGCTAAACTCTACCCTGACTTTGCATCCGCTTTTATTAAAATACCGGGTCATTTTCGCAAGTCCTTAATGTCAAGAATTTTGAAGTACGGAAGCTCGTACACACTTTAAATGTTCTCGCAAATTAACAGGTTCTCAAAGAAATAAAACCCATTTCCATAAAGAGCCAAAGAAACTAGAGCGTGAATATATTGGCGAAGAAAAATATTCGTTTTTAACTTAACCGAGTCTTTATCGACCAAAGTCTGTTTTTCTTTTACTTATTAATGCTGATTCGACCTGCGTCACCTGGAAGGCGCACGGCCAGTGTCTGAGTGCAAAGCCACAGGTGTCTTGAACCAAACAGAGACGCTGCAGAGAGCAGAAACAAAAACATCAACAACACTTTAGGGCAAAAGAGAATAAAGTGCGGTCGTCTCTCGATTCATCTGTCTCTCTCCTTTATATATTATATATATATATATATATATATATATATATATATATATATATATATAATTAGCAGAGCTTGTTTGTTCGGTGTACACACCCAAATCGTCTCATGTACAGTCTCCAAAATACAGTATGCATATTTACTTGACATGGGCAAAGTGAGTTTTAACGCAGAAAGAGAGGAAGGCTTTACCTTGCTAATGTTATATGAGGACATTAGTACTACTGCAAATAATAACTCCTAATCCAAGAAATGTAGACAAGTTACAAATGCTAGTCAAAAATTAATAATGATGGCTGATATTGCTTCATCTAATAAAAAATGAAAATGAAATAAATACTAGACACAAATGAATAATTATGGCGGACAATCTAATAAAATTGGTTCTCTGTGTCGCGCCAGAAGTTTTTTCTCGCCTGAATCCATCCTCCAAACCTACAAATCAACCATTCGTCCTTGCACTGAATACTGCTGCCATATACGGTCTGCTGTTCATTTCGAGGTGCTTGACAAAATCCAAAGACGGATATACAATGTGATAGGTCCCAATCTGGCATCTCGTCTACAGTTACTTTTCTCACAGACATGTGGCTTCCCTCTGTCTCTTCTACCAATATTTTCATGGCAACCTCTCTGACGGGCTATTTTCACTGGTACCCCAACTGCATGAATTTAAGCGTGCTACTAGGGTGGCATCTTGGTCCCACCCTTTCACTGTCGAAACGGTTAAATGTAGCCGTCTCTTCTGCTTCTTCTCTCGCACTTCCCGACAGTGGAACTCCCTTCCTCTTACTTGCTTCCCTGATAGCTATAATTTTCAAAAATGTAAATTTAATGTCAATCGACATCCTCTGATGCATTGATCTTGATCCACGTCCTTCTCTTTATCCTTTCCTCAAACAATACTCTTTACTCTTGCTCTTACTCTCTGTAAGCCCTTGCGCGATAGTGGCACTCCCGCATTGCTTGGAGGTGATATGATTAAAAGAAAACTGCTGCTTTTCAGACGTAATGTCGCCATATCAACATAAAAAAAATATAATGTGTGGCATTTTGAAAAAGAGCACTTTCTTCACTATTTTAAAATCTCATTTTTACAAATGAGTGAGATCTAATCTCAGATGGAATTAGCAATCAGAAGATTTATCCACCTCTCCAAGACGGTGGAATGCGACACAAGGTCGAGTTTAAGGTGGGAGGGGACATTAAAAAGTGAGCAAGGCCACGTTCTTGTATCAGATTTCTTGTTCTCGCTTCGTAGCCCTTGTTAAGACCTCATGCGGTTTGCATTAACATTTTCTCTTAGGGAGATACTCATCATGGGAGGGTGTCTCTGCCTGTTCCGTGGCCTCCTCGTCCTCCAACCCCAACCCCTGAAAGCGGTAGGTGCTGAAGGCAAGGGTCGTACCATAACTAGTTTTCAAGAGAAGCGTAAATTAACACATTTGGTGGCAAACCGAAAATAATATGATTTGAGTTCAAAAAATCCCATTTGAAGCTGGCCGGCAAACAAAGACAGATTAGTGATGGAGAATCTGCGCAAGTCTTTAATTAACTTAATGATGTCGCCAGAAAATCCACTATGTATGGGAGGTTTTATAGTTAGTCTGTTTCAGCCAAGACGAAGTAAACGTTACCCGAAAAGAATATTCTCAGCGATGTCTCCTTAATCTTGCGACTGGGATTGAAACTCGGATCTCTTCAATGACACTTTGAACTCACAGCAAGCGTATGGGAAATAATGGCGTGAGACAGGCAGGAGACGTTTACTTTTTATGAAATTTTTCAATCTAACAGGTACACACACACACACACACACACATATATAGACAGATATAGATATTGATAATATCAGTGGTCCATATATATATATATATATATATATGGTGGTACACGTTTGGAAAAACAACGGATAGCTCAACTTGCAGTAAAACAAATCGGTACCCGAGGGAAAATGGGGAATAAAAAAAGAAAGAAACAAGAACATTAAGAAAAGGCGAAAACAATCGTCATGTGTTTAAAGCTCCAAGTCCAAAGAAAAAAAGAACCTAAAACGATTAAAAAGACAACTACGTAAATTGTTCAATACACAAAGTAGAGCAAAACCTAAGATAATCCTAAGGGACCAGGCAAACTTTCCTAGGTTTCACCTAAACGGATCGTCAGGGCGATGCTGACTCCTTAGGATTATCATATATATATATATATATATATATATATATATATATATATATATATATATATATATATATGTATATAAATAAAAAGAAAGAACAGTAAGATATAAAATCCGGTGTTCTTATAGATATTTTATTTTTACAAAATAGTGCTCAATGTAAATTTACAGAGCATTAATATTATAAATTAATTGATTTAAAATATGGTTATTTTCGCAAATAACCATATTTTAAATCAATTAATTTATAATATATATATATATATATATATATATATATATATATATATATATATATTATTTACTACAAAAGATGCCACTTCGTTTCGGTGCATTTCAATTGCACCTCGACGTGTGAGAACCAAAACTAGTTATGAACAATTCTGCTTGTGAGCAAGCCGTATGTGAAACATCACTTCCTTTTATCCATTTGTTTGAAAAAAAATATACATAAAGCAAAAAGGTGACGGAGTGAAACAGTAGTGCTTGTTGATAGCAGTTTGGTGAAGGATGCGTGGCGTGTTGAATGCTGGCTAGTCTGGGAAGATTCCTTGCCGATAAACGACGGTCAAAAGTTTAGGCACATCATCTCGTAAGCGTCCTAAGATTGGGAGGTGGGGGAGGAAAGGTGGCAATAGGAGATAATAATACGATGGAAGATGGATAATCATCGCTCTACTATCGGTATCGAGCCCACTTTTGGATTAATGCTGTGAACGTTACAATTCATCTATTACTTTCTTTCTCATTGCATCGGATATATATATATATATATATATATATATATATATATATATATATATATACCGTAATGTATTTTTTCTAAAAAAAAATAAATAAATAAGCAAAATTAGGGGTGCGTATTATGCACAGCTACAAAAAATCTTTAAAAAATTGCCGTTTCATAGGTCGATTTCAGTTTCGAAACAAACATCACGACAATTTGACACTAACATTCGGCGATTGCGACTCCATAAGGATGTCAAATATAATCACATGTACCTAACAATACTTACAAATGTAAAATGAAATAAGAATTATCATAAAACTAAATTAGAATAAGATTATTCTATGTTTAAAACCATTTTAAAAAGAGTAGTAAACGCTGGCCGTAATGAAATTGGAGTATGGGTTTGAAACAGTGAATGAAAAGCATTTTTACACACTTTCAGCACAATTTTAGGGGTGCGTATTAAGCGTGAGTAGAAGCATTTTCCCACACATTCATCACAATTTCAGCGGGACGTATTATGGATGAAGGCGTGTTATACATGGGGAATTGCGGTATATAAAATATAGTATTTCGCCTAAAGTAATTAAGTAATTCTGGAGATAACGTTTTTAAGGCATCTTGTCTTTGTAATTGGAGTGTTTCATATAAAATGAAAGAGTATTAATAATAATAATAAATGAATTACTTTTTTTTATTATCTTATTCTTGTCTTATTTAAGTTTCGCGGAATTAATTCCATTCTTCAAGAAACTTGATGATAAAACGAATCTGTTGATATCAAACACTATCATGACAAGGGTTTTTCTAACAAGACTCCTGAGGAGTGGATGCAATTCAGAGAAATTCAGAGTAGAGCCAGGACTAAGATGGGAAAAAATTTCATTTATCATATGTAAGAAACTTACTCAGTAACCCTCTACCTTGAGTGGCTTAACTGCCAAAGTTTGAAATGATATTTTCCAAATGTCGTACTGTCAATAGCATAATCCCCTCTCCACACCAATTATCTCACGACTGTTATCTTCTTTTTTTTAATTACCAACGATGTTTTTCATTATTTACACGCGACCATTGGACCCATCTTTTTGTTGTTATCACAACGTTTCGGCTTTTGTGTCCACCGCCCTTCATCAGGTACTTGTTGGTCAAAAAATTCAGTACCGAAGCTTAAATAAAAATCGACGTGGATAGATTGTTCTCGTTCCGTTGCTCATATGCCGTTGCTCTTATTTCTTAGGACTTCTCAGTTATTTCTCTCCCCCATTTCCACTTGGTCTAAATACACGGGACAATAGTCTAGTGCATTAAAGATTTGGCGCATCAGTTTGGTGATATAGTGGAATTTGGTTTATGAATTTGGTTACATACTAATTGCGTGTTCAATCTCTGAGTCGAGCAGTGTGTAACTGGCCTTAATAAAGGTCGAAGGGCACAACGACCGAAACGTTATAACAAAAACAAAGATGAAGACAATAGTCAACACGTAAATAATGGATAATAGTCTAGGTGTAAATAATGATAACTCCTCATCCCAGAAATTCAGACAGAAAGCAATCAGGTGATAATAACAACAAAGATGAGGATAATAGTCTGCATGTAAAATATGATAATGAAATGAAATGATCGAAAACGCTCGAAACATTGCACACGAATTTCAGTAAATTCTTTTACATGTTTCCATCCATAAACAACTTTTGACACCCCAAAAAAAAAAACATGTTTTTACCAAAAGGTACTAACGTACATTCCTTAGCCGTTACTTTTAATGAAAACATGTTTAAACGAAAAATACTACCTAAGTATAAGGTTTAATATATATATATATATATATATATATATATATATATATATATATATATATATATATATATATATATATAGTTGATGTTGATTATCGGAATCATCGACGCATTCCAATCCTTTCAGAGGTGCTCCGCCAAAGTTCTTACCGCTCTGTTAAATCTGCCGTCTTTTGATGAAAAAAAAACTGGATATTTTGAGGTTTAAAGTACCCCGCCTCACTTATCTAAAGGGTGACCATAAAGATTTGAGGAGTTATACAGCTTTTGGGTACGAACAGATGGCGCGGCAAACGAATGATAACATAAACAAAGGCCTTGGTTCTTGAAGGAGACATTTTGTTGTCTACTACATGCTGTTCTGTGTATCATGCATTTATCTCATGATTCTGGCAGTAAGGAAGTCTTTGGAAAAGCTTGTTAGTTCCTTACAATGCTTTTCAGCTTTTTAGACCCTCCCAACCCTAGAATTTCTTTGGGTCCAAGATAACACGCTTTTCCATTTCTTCATTCCAGATGTCTATCTATTCCGTTTTGTTATTTCCCCTGAAGGCATTTTATTTTCATCTTCAATTAGAATAGAATTTCTTTTTACATATCAGTTTTCATGTTAAAGAGTGTTTACCAAATTTTCTTGCCACAATTGTTCCATCGTTAAAGATGATGGGAATATGGTTAGCTTCTTTTACTACTCCTGAAAGTACCTGAATTTTCCTGTTTCTTTACAAGAGTCAAATTAGACCAACAATGGAGCATTGCTGCTATGTGTGGTCCTGAGCTGCTCATTCCTCACTTTCCAGCCTTGATAGAGTTCTTTTGCCACGTTTCATCTTTACAAGAGTCAGATTAAACCAGGGGTCACCAAACTACGACCTGCTGGTCGGATCCAGCCCCTTATGTCAGTTCATCCGGCCCGCACTCGTCATTCTCTCAATTATCTAGCCCTCTGTGAAAAAAAGTTTGGTGGCTCCTGGATTAGACCAACAATGAAGTATTGTTGATATGTCTAGGCTGGAGGTGCTCAATCTTCACTTTCAAGCCTTGAAAGAGTTCAAAAGCTTTTATACTGCCTTCTGGGTAACGAGTTATTTTCAACCTTGAACATTCTGTATCACAGGCGAAACGTTGCAAGCCTCTGTCTACTCTATCGCTATTTTCATGGAAATGTTTAGACAAGCTACACTCTCCGGTTCCATCAATTCAGACCTTTGTATCTCGGATCCGCCATGTCATGTACACAGGATCGAACCATCCCCAATCCCTTCGTATTCCATTGATAACTTCTTCCCAAGAACCGCTACTTTGTGGAACAGACTCCCAAGAAGTTGCTTCCCTCCATCACTATTATCTTAACAACTTAAAGTCTAGGGTCAACCGTTATTTATCCTACATATTATCAAAATCTGCGCCTACTTCCTCCTCTAACGTCCATGAAACAATCTCACCAAGTAACTCTCTACCTTGAGTGGCTCCCGGGTCTTTGTATTGTGCGAACATTTTTATTTTTCTTAACTTGCAAAATAATTAATACGACAATTTTTATGTAATAATTCTAATCATGATACTTCTTTTTAATACTTTAATCTTGCTTCCTTCTTTTAAATGCTTCTGCAAATGGCTGATCATGGTTCTCCACAACTTCCCATCCTTGGTATTTTTTAGCAATGCTTGTCC